TGATGGCGGGTTCTTGGGGTTGCAGATTTTCGCCGGAACAGTCATCATGAGCGGTGCTATCATGTTCTTGGTGGCGAGATTCCAGGTCGGAGGGACTAGCTTGACCACGAAAATTTGAGGACGCGGTACAAGATGTTAGATTGCTGAGGGTTTGGGGGAGGGCGCGGGTTGGTTAAGTTGGAACGGATAATATATACCTACCACTAAGTACTTAGTGATGGCTTAATGTTAATACGTGTAGATGTATATAATGTTCTCAAGTTATACCCCATGGAAATCATTCAAAAATATATTTTTCTGTGAAGCCCTTACCAAACTTGCGCTAATCTCAGTTACTATACCCAGAGTTCTCAATAGCCAGTCGGGCTGGGCTGGCTACGTTGGGCTGCTTTGGGCTGCTTTGGGCTGGTCAAAAAAGCCGGGCTGGCTTTTTTAACTCGGCTGGCTGTGGGCTGGCTGTGGGCTGCATGAGCTGTTGCTCGGGTATAAAGAATCGACTATGATCACGCGATTGCTGCTTCACTGGATAGGTATCACTCTGTGCTGATTCGCGCCTTTTACATATAAAGACGCAGCCCGCAACCAGCCAGCCCGGGCTTTTTGGGCCGGCTATTGAGAACACACCAAGTCTCTCCCACGCCCACGCATTTCAACCAGACACTCCTACCTCCTTCACCTCTCCGTCTGTCCTCCATTTCACCATGGGGAGGAAGAAACTGAAAGGGACTCAGGCAGGCGTCCCGGTTGCCAAGGGAGGGGGCGTGTGTGTCAGGTCACAGGATACGCCAAGCCGCATAGAGAAGAAGGAGTTGGTGATCATTCCTTTCTCTCTGTTCTCTACGCTCATTTGTGTTGGGTGTGACGGCCTGGGTGGCCACAGTTGACGCCTGGGACAATATCAATACCATAAGGCGACGCTTTTGAACATCGGACGGTGGGTCTGGTGACGCATTCAACAATGGACGGCGGGGTAGGTGACAGTGGTTATATAATGTGGCGAGTGCTGGTAAGCCGAGAAAAAAGCAATTTGGTGAGCGCCGGTGCTACGTAGCTTCTCAAGCTGCCAGTAAACTTGAAAGTGGACACCCGTTTCTCAAAAACTCCAGTTGAGCAACGTCCGACCCATAATGGCCTTTCTCTGTATATCGGCTTTAACCCTCGGAGGTGGCAGTTCTGACACATCGGACGACCCCCTGGTGACAGCGAAAAAATAACGGACGGAGATCGGTCGACCCCCACCTCATTGCTCGCGACAGTGCATACTTGATTAAACGCATACGGACACGACGGGGACTTTATGGCGTACCAGTACAGGCTCTAGCCCATCCAAATCTTCGGTTCTCGCACATGCATGTACTTTCCAACTGAAGCCAAAAAAACTTGAGAAATACACTGTTCTTAGATGCACACATTACATCCCCTACACCTCGGGATTGGTAAATTCGTTGCAGTTATATCTACACGAAAGTTGGAAAGTACTTAGTTTAGGATGCGGTATGGAGGGGTGAGTGATGGACCATGTATCCGTGCAACATCTTGGAGCTGTCTCCTAGACTCGGAGTATCACCGATGGTGGCGGAGGGACACTTATTTCCTGCCTGCCGGCCGAGCTTTTGATATCGCCTAAGCTACGTTCAGGAGTTGGTGAAATTGCAACGAATTTCCTAATCTCAAGCGTCATGACGAAGAACTTGCGCGTGACAGTAGAATTATTGCCCAAAACCCCACGCGCCACCAAAAACCCAACCCGGAACGCCCTGAACAAAAAGGCTATCTACACATGGTACCAGAACAGACCAGATGAAAAAAGAAGAGAAAAATATCGGCTCAAAACTACATAACTACACATCCAGCATCGCTCCCCATCGCCTCGCCCGCAGCGGTTCGCAGCTGCACATTCCTCCACTGCTCTTGCACAACCTCGTTCTCATTTTCTCTCTGTTTTTCTCGCGCTTCCCTGGGGAAATATGTCTTTAGGAAATTGAGAAGACTCATGTCGAGATTGGTTGCGTCCGCCTGCATGACAACGTCCCCGCGACACATAGGACAGAACCGTTTCACCTCGCGTTGGAGCTTCACCAAACACCGCACGCAGAACACGTGCGCGCATGATAGTCGCACGGGCTTGACAGAGATCGATTGGCAGATTGGACAGAGATAGTCTTCGAGTTGCGGTATGATCGTCAGGAGCTTGTTCGACATGGTGAAGCAGATTGCCTTTGACAGTTGGGACGCAAGGAACGGATTGGATGCAACAAAAGTCGGAAATGTTTCGCGAGCGCCGAGAGCTGTACGCTTATCAAATTCTGTTTCTAGATGTGAGCTTTTGCATGTATCCTAGAAGGAATCGGAGAACAAACTCTTGAGGATTTTGGTCATGGCCATCTTGTTGATCGCCTGGAATCTCAGCACCCTCAGAACCTCCTCGTTGATCGCAACGAACCGGTTGAAGAGAAGGTGGCTGTTCCGCTGTTTGAACGATGTCCTTAACCCTAGTTTGTCGACCTCTTGCAAGAACTTCTCCAAGCGGGCTTGAGCATCCTCTACGGTACGCTCTTTATGCCCCTCTATCTCAAGAGTTGAAAAGAATATGCCGGTCTCCAGATATATCCGGAAGATTTCGCGCCATGGATAGAGATCGGAGCGTCTCATGGTGCTAGTCTGTGGCGTGGCTACCACTATAACCTTATCTCCCATGGCGACAATTTCACTCTCTATGGTTTTTGCCGCATTGGACTGGATTTTTCCAAGAACTAACAGCTCGGCAGCGAGGTCGCGGAAGAATTCAGAGTCGTGGTTCAGAGGGATCTCGATGGTTGAGACAGATTCAGGGTTCAAAGGGTAATGGCTAGATTCCACATCGGAAGCGCTCGTGATCGAGGCTGCAGACACATCTGAAGTCTCAGACGGCGATGAGTCACTGCTAGAATCGCTCTGGGAGGATGCCATCGACGATCTCCTGTTCAGGGGTCTTGGCCGTGTGCCGCGCTGCTGTAGCAAGCGCTCCAGCGACTGCCTCGTTTCGTCGGATAAACCAAGATCCAATGGCAGTCCGTCGCTGCCGCGAACTGTCAGCACCAGCTTTGGCTGGAAGCTCTGAATAGTGCCTGCGGGCCCATCCACGGTCAGCAGGGAATAACCAAGTCCAGCAGACTGCAGCCTACCATCAAACATGTACTGCAGAGTTGGGGCACCAGTTGCAGCACCACCCTCACGACACTCAGAGATGAGCTCCTTGAGAGTTTGCACATCCAAGCCCAGGGCATCGAGCTCTTCCTTGACTCGCTTTATGCACTTTTTGAGCTGGCGGTACCGGATGGCAGCAGCTTGCCATTCCGGCGGGAAGTTCTCGCTGGAGAGGGTTTCGTTGAAAGTGTGTGCGAACTTCATGCTTGGGGGGGGGGGGGGCTCTTGGTTGGTACGCCTTGTGTCGGGTTTCACCGAGAGCGGGTTGTTGCAGGTAATCGACGGGCTAGGTTTGGGAAGCGGGAAGTGCGACGAAGAAGGAACCGCCAGAGTTAAATACGGCAGCACGGAGGGAGAATATTTGATTCGAGCCAACGGGACAACGACCATCGGGGGGTGGGGGTGGGGGGGGGGGGGCTGGGAGTGCCGTCAAGGAGCAGAGCAGCGCAGCAGGCAGCAGGATGGAGCTTTCGGGGATGTTGGCTGGGAGGGGAGGAGATTCTTGAGATCTGCTTGGACGGAGTAGGTGCAAAATGGTTTTCCCTAAGCGAGAAAGGGTTTTCTTTGCCTTTCGAGAGTTCGACACCAGATCAACAACAGGGGCCTTTTTGTACTGTACAGCCTGGCAAGGCAGCCATGATTAGCTGATTTTTCGAAGAAAGCACGCAACGAAGCCCATAGGCCGCGAGTCGATGGCCTGGTCGTGAGTGCTGGTGGTGGTGGCGGCCATGCGCTGTGCAGAAAGGAGACAAGCCCGCCTGGCAAGATTTCGGCTATGTCCTACCGCTTACTGCCTTCAAATCCAACGTGCTCGTCCTCCGCTGGCGGAAAAATGAAAAACGTGAGAAAAACGTCACCGCCGTTCACTGCCGACCCAAACCCGGGCTGTCTGACCCGAGCAGACTCAGAGAGCAAGCGAGCCAACCAATCTCAGGCTCCAGCGACAGACACCCGCTGCATTGCACCCACTCATGTTCATGTCACCAGCAGCCGGTGACGATGACCCACGAGGCAAATCTGCCCCCCCCCCCCAACCCCAATCGAGGGGCTGCAGCACCCAGTGCCACCCACAGCCGCCCGCCTCCCCGCAGCGTTTCCGTTCCAGAACCATCGAACCCGTCAAGAAAACGCTCCTGACACTCCGGCCAACTGCTCGCGTGACAACTTTCCGCTTCGAGCGAATCTTGTGCTGCGCCATCTCAGCCATCACGCAGAAAATCTGCAGTAGGTGAGTGGACGCTTAAACGAAATTTGACAGGCTTCTGCATGCGCAGGGGTCGATGCAGTGACTCTGCATAAGTATGGCTGGGACAACGGCGGGCCGCGACATTCCTTTTTGCTTGGTGACACATACAAAATACCCTGTACCGGTCGAGTGATGAGCCTGAATCCACAATCAGCAGGAGTTCCGACAAATGGAGTCTGTAAATCGATAGAGCGATCGAAAATTAGTCGAATGACGGTGTTCTTTTAAAAAATAACTTTTTGTGGGTGCGGTAAACTCGTTCAAAGTCAGGGTGCCCAAAACCAACCGCGTTTAGGTGACCTTGTTGGGTAGATGTGTATGGTTGTGGACACCTTACGCAGAGGGATGACGACAGCGGGATGCGGGAATTGGAATTCCCATCCGTCAAGTCCACTGATGCGAGTACTGCGCAGTGAAGCGGCAAAGACTGCGATTATGTTTGAAAGGAGAGTTTGAAACAGTTGTATTAGGAGGGCTATATTTGCTGTGGTTAATTGCTGGTTGTGACCACTAGCCTACTACGATTACTGGTTATGAACATCTTTTAGTTAATATTTGGATATGAAATGCCTTGCTGGCGCAATGGTAGCGCGCAAGACTTCTACCATTGGGTTAATCTTGAGGCTGTGGGTTCGAGTCCCACGTAGGGCTTTCATTTTTTTTTCACTGTTTTTTTTTTTTTTTTTTTTAATTTTTTTCCTTTCTTTTTTCAACCCAACACGCTATCATCGCCAGCAAGGCAACTTACCATAATCAGTCATACTATATATCAATCCCTTCACGCTTGAGATTGAGAACTTCGTTGCAGTTGCGGGGTTCAGCGGCAGGTGTGGGCGATGGGCCGTGTATCAGTGCAGCGGTCGAATGAGGCATGAAGCTACCTATTCACATAAAGAGTCGGCGAACTACGGATGGCGACCCAGTGACCTTACTTCCTGCTTGCCGGTGCATGCTTTTGATATCACTCGACCTAGACCCGTTCAGAAGCTTGTGTAACTGCAACGCATTTCCCAATTTCAAGCATGTGGGGTCATCGGTGCGGTACGCTGATTTAAGGCGGTACAAATAGAATTCTTTCTACGCATCGACCTCCCGATAGGTACCCACTGTAATCTCTTGCATCCTGCGGCATTTACAATAATAGAGGAGGCTGCTGTCTGCTCGCCCAAGTGGATGAACGCAAAGGGTGAAAGCAAGAAGACAAAAATGGTCGGCAGCCAACATCACACAATCTTCACCAACCACCGAGAAATGTTTTGCTTGTTTCCCTTTTTGGGTGAGCAAATCCGTACGTATATGAGTTGTACGGAGGAAGTGCGGCTTTTTTATACCACAGTCGACTCTCCCTATGAGAATATTGTATGTAAGAACAAGCTCCCTATAAGAATACGTGTGACCGGTCCTCACCGAGTTTGTACGGGACAAGCCACGCTCTCTATACGAATTTTCACTTTATAAGAATACGCCCCAGCGGTCCCGACCGTATTCTTATAGAGATAGTCGACTGTACCCATATTTTTTTATTTCGATGCACGAGCATTCCTGTAAAGTACGGCTTCCATCCCCATTCGGCATCAATATTCTAGATACATATATGTGCGCACATAGAGAGTGAAATCGAATATGGCAGCGATACCTCATCGGGGGGGTGGTTCTGGTTAAGAAAACCCCCAGTTTATCGCTGTTGTACCAATCGACGATACATAATGATTTGAAATTCTGTAAGAAAATGCCGTAGCAATAACGGTCGATACTCATTTAATTTATCACAGAGTTTTCATGGTCGCTGGAGCAATACGACAAATGATAAACCCGGGGGGGCTATGAGGTACTTAGTAGGTGGTAGAGGTACTTAGGTACATACATGTACCTATATACCGTAAAAATTCGCCAGCAAGAGACTGAACGGCGCGAAAATAAAAAGCGAAAGGGTGTAGGGAAATACCAGGCGCCGACTATATTTTGCTAGTTGCATTAATCACTATCAATCACTCGCATCACAGGCCTGCAATATCCTCCCGCCTCTTGTGTTTAGTTTCGCGCCGTTCAGTCTCTTGCTGGCGAATTTATAGGTACGATACATACATCCTACTACGGCATCAAATTGCAAATCCACCTCTGTTCGCAACCCGTTTCAAGAGATCCTGATACATCATCACTCGAAGAACCCATACAAACAACACTGCGGCTTCCAAGACTTGGCATCTCAGATAGGGCTAAATAAGGATGCCGGTCGATCTAATAGATGGCGGTACAACGCGTACGAGTACCCTATTATTTCATACGAAAGGCGGTCTTGGTGCAGAGGGAACATTTTTAGAGCTGGGTGCGAAACCCTCCGGTTCAAAACCGCGGTGGCGGTTAAAAACTAGTTTCCAGCAAACTTGTGTTTTTAACTTCACCTCGGACGATGAAAACGGTGAAACAAACTTCCGGCCGCCAAGACTACCGTGATGCTCGACATCACTCGCTGCTGCAAAACCAACGGTAATATAATCAGTTATCAACGACTCTGTTTTTAACGTGTTTTTAACCTGGCTTGGCGGTTTTTCACCAAGCTCTATGCACCTGAACCAACCCTAATCCGCCAGGTCACATGATGCAACGGAAAAGAAAGACTTCCAACAAGCCCAACTGCGTATGCCAGTGTTGTTGGCTACAAGTGTCGTGACACCTACTGTAGCCGATATATGATACCTATGGGAGGCTAGCGTAGCGGTCCAAAAATGTTGCGACCGACGTTCAAAAGGTTCTTACCTAAGTACTCTAAAAGGGTATCAACAGTTCGAGCGACAATTCAAACCATCCGGCCCAATCGTTTCTCAGACCCTCTTTCACCTTGATGACTCAGATCCACTTTCCGTGGTCACACAGCTGAGGGCGGGGGTTTCTTCCCGTCCTGGACCCGCCATGTCATACCACTTCAAGGCAACACCATTCCTTTTGTGGTCGCTTTTGTGGCTGAACAACGCCAGGCTGTGGCTTACCTTCAAATTTTTACGTCAACTTCATCGACCACCCACTCAACACCAAAATTTTATCGACCACTTGCCATCCATTGTATTGGTTTTACCAAATAGAAAGCTTTCCATCGCTATGAAAACGGAATAAAAATGTGGTGGTTTGATGAAGTTGCCTTTTGCGTTTTTCCCATACAAAAGGCGGTCGGCAGAAACAACCTCTTCGCGCCGTCTGATCCTGCATCGCACTACAAAAACGATATTGCACCAGTTTTGAGGGATTAAAATAGGGACCCTTTCTCGCGAAGTCTGTCGCTCCATATTTTGAAAATTTTGTGTTGGCGTTGAGTTATTCAGTTCCGAATTGAAGACGTTTGTGGTGTTTTGTCCTCACGAGTGTTCTCAGCATCCCTGCTCTGGCTCCCCAACCCAACCCCATCCCTGGCGCTCCCTGCTTCTTCTTCTTACAGCGGTTCAGCTGTCCCCCCCCAAGAATAAACATAAACAACCAACCCTCATTTATCTGCAGCCATGCCGCAGAGCGCATAGGAAATTCTTTCTCTATTCTTCTTTTTCTTCGTTCGCTCAATGTCACTCGTCTCATGCTTTTCCGTTGGCGATATCAATTGACCTCAGTCTATCCTTACTTACTCTCTCAACCAAACTTCGTCATCCTTCGACTTCGAATTTCGCTCATTCACTGACTTGCTTGCCTTCCGCCCTTCCCAACCCCCAGCCTCTACTCTATTTGCCCCTCATGACCACGCAGAGACAGCGATCGTATTCCACTTCCGCATCGCCGCGGCGGTCATTCTCCCTACCCCTCCGGCCGCCCGAGTCTCTGCGCGCTACCAGTGAATATTCTACTATCAGTGCTTCCTGTGTTGATGCTGGAACGCACATCCAAGTCCTGTTTGCGCACCCAGACTCTAAAATCGTCAATTTCACCTTCAGCGCCACCACCACCTTGAGAGGGGACCCATTGCCGTGGAGTAGCCCAGCAGAGAGAACTATTGCTTCAGGTATGCGAACTCTAACTATTCACCGTTTTGCAAGTTAACCCTCTTTCCAGGTCCGCTCAGAATCTACAAGACTGTGCCTCACGATGTAGCGTTCCTCCAGTCCGGATCCGCCCTCAAGCCGCTTTTGTCGAGGACGCAATGTTGGAATGTGGATGGCGGACAGATATTCTGCCTGCAGCTTCGGCCCGGAAACTACTGGCGCATAGAAATCCTAGGGTAAGGCATGGTTTATACAAGATTACCCGTTGCTGATTGTTCTCAGGGGTATGGAGTCGGATGTCAAGTGTGCCGAATTTCGCAGTGCGCTTGCAAATATTGTGGCCTTTGAAGTGACAGCTTGTCCTTTCAACAGGTCTGGAAGCTGTCCCCCCGTTATCGAAATCCCACAAGCTCTACAACCTGCAAAAGTGTGGAGGCGGCCATCACTACGACCAATCGAAAATGCGAAGAACACTCGCCCGCAGACTGCTGGTGGGAACGATTTACACTCGAAAACATCCTCCGTGAAGAGGCTCTTCCCCGATTCTGCCGATGGAATCTTCGGAATCGGGCTAGCAGAACGAGTTAATGTAGTGGACAAGGTGGATAGGAAATTGGATCGCCCCATATCACTAAGGGACCTTGAAGGGCCGCCATCTGGCTCGCCGAGAGCGTCGTCCAGCCAAAGCTGGAGAGAGCCTTTGTCTTTCTCTGAAACCTTCCAGCAACGTCGCGCTAGATACGGGCCACCGGTTGCAAGCCGGCGCACTAGTTTTGCGGAAGGCTCTTCTGGGCCGTTACAACGACAATGGGCGCTGGAGTACATTTCTCGTCGAGGCTCTTTGGGCACGGATGTCTTCACCGCAACATGCCGACAGGAAACCGCTATCGATGCTGTGCAAGAGGCCCCCACATCCAGCGAGAATGAAGCGCAAACACTTTCGGTAGAATGCCAGGATTCAGCCAAAGGGCTCTCATTTTTCGAAGACTGCGGCTTGGAACCAAAGACTCAATCCACTGATAAACCGAAGCGATGCCAGTCTCCCCCGTGCTTTCGGACGGCTATCTTCAGTCCCACGGAACCACCTCTTAATACACAGATTGGCACGAACGATGACGACTTTGCTGCACTCTCTGAGTACTCATCTTCCCCCGAATCTGGTCCATGGCAGGAATTCACGCCACCGCAGAGCCCGGTGCGTGGTAAAGGCCAAAGGCTCGGCGTCTCACCCTCTCTTGCTGCACCTCCGGTTTTGGCTGGCGCAACCTTGGACGTTTCGCACCATTTAACCAGGCAATCGACACCGGAGAACTCACTCTGGTACACTCCAGCTCAGCAGCCGCCCTATCGCTCCCCGCGACAACGCGATGGCCCCATTCAGGCCACAATGGAGCTCAGTGCTGTCGTTTCAGTGGATGCCCCCGAAGTTTCGCCTGTCTCTACGCTATCCTCTAGTTCTGAAGCCGAATCGGATTATGTCCAAGTCGTCGGCACTCCGGCACATGTGCGCCCCTCGCCATCCCCCGTCCTCGATGCACACCCGCCGCAACGCCAAGTGCGCCGGGTCACTTCATCTGTCGTTCTCGCTAAGACTGCCAACATCGCAGCGGCAACTGCAAACTTTGTTGTGCTCAAGCCATCCGCATTTCTAGTAGCGTTGATGTTTTCCATCGCCACAAGGCTCGCCAC